GTGATCCACCCTCCTTGGCTTCCCAAAGTGCTGGGATTACAGGCTTGAGCCACCGCGCCCGGCCTAATTTTTGTATTTTTAGTAGAGACGGGGTTTCACCATGTTGGCCAGGATGGTCTCCATCTCTTGACCTCGTGATCCACCCACCTCGGCCTTCCCAAAATGCTGAGATTACAGGTGTGAGCCACCACGACCCGCCATGCCTATTTTCAGAATTCAACCTTTCCTTTGTCCTTTCCACCTCTTTGATAACACTAAAACCTGGATGGTATAACTCAACTACTAATTCCACATTTCATGCTTGACTTTTACTATTTTTATAATCAATACTCTCCACCATGGTCTTACCTTTAATGCTTTTCATGAAATGGGATAAAATGCTACCACTAATGGGTGTCAGAACCACCTGAACTGAATATTAATTTTCCAGATGTTTGAATTAACACTGGTCCTCCTTCCTTAATATGGACAGAGGTGTGAAAGAACCTTCATATGAAGTGGCTTTCAATCTTGAATATTCACGTTTATTGTCCATTTATTACTTCAGAATGACTGGTTTTGTTTTGTATTTAGGAGTGGAGGGAGCTTGGAAATTGAGAAAGGGAAGAGAACAAGGCAGGAACCAAACAGGGACATGGCCAAGACATGACAGTTGTACAGTTGACTCTCAAGCCTTTGTGGAAACCACATGGCAGGTCTGGGCATTTACCCTTTGCCAGGTAGACTCCAATCCTGCACTGGATTCAGCACTGGGTCCCATCTGATGGAAACCTGGAGAAGCCCATGCATGAATCAGCATTCTCCAGTGGAGAGACTGCCTGTGTTGCTGACTCTGCCTTGCTCTTCAAGCAGAAGCAGCAAGAAACTGAAGACTTTTTCTCTAGAATAGTAAGCCCAATTACTTGAAAATGAAGTAGTACAATAAACCTAGCCAAAAGTGGTCTCTCGTATATCAGTTTAGGTATATGCCTTTTCCAGGAAGATCTCCCTTATTTGCTGGCCCCACAGACACACCCCTAAGTGGGGTTAGGCACTTCATGCTTTGTTCTGTCAGCTCCTAGCCAATAGCCCTATCACAGCACTCACCCCAATATGATCTGTTTCATACCTCAGTAGAGGAGAGTTGCTTAACTGTTTGTGCTTTGGCAGTCTGCTGAAACCTATGAACCAATTCTTAAATAATGTTTTTCAATGCATAAAGTAAAATACATAGGATTACAAAGGAAACCAATTATAATGAAATGTGTAGTTTTGGTTTTTTGAGCTGGGGATCTTGCTCTGTTGCCTAGGAGGGAGTACAGTGGCAGTCATAGCTCACTACAGCCTTGAACTCCTAGGCCCAAGCAAAATCCTCCTGCCTCAGCATTCTGAATAATTGTGTCTACAAGTGCGACCCACAACACTTGACTAATTTTTACATTTTTTTGTAGAGATGGGGGGCTTGCTATGTTGACCAGGCTAGTCTTGAACTCCTGGCCTCAAGAAAGTCTGCCTTAGCCTCCAAAAGTGCTGGGATTCTAGGTGTAAGCCACTGTGCCTGGCTGAAATATGTGTTTCTTAACTCCAGACATCTGGAGTATAAATTCCTTGAGTGCAAGGAATATGTCTTCATCTCTCTACTTTCAGTGCCTAGCACAAAGCCTGGCACAGAGATGGTTCTTAAAAATGTTTATTCAATGCATGAATAGAAAGATAAATGGCTACTACCAAGTCAGACTAAGGAATGATTCATTGCAACTGCTTATGCACATACCAATGGCTTGCATATGTCTTACCCCATCTAGGATCATCTAGACCAGGGCTGTAAGGGAACTCATATTCAACAACAGGTACCATAATATCTAACAATAATGACAGGCTATTGGAAGACCAGGAAAACAACAAAGCTCATGTATTTCACCAGCTGGAAAATTCATCTAGTAAACAGGCTGTTTGAGGAAATCTCTTGAGGAAGCATGATGCACACACTACCTTAAAACCCTACTAATAACTCTTATGGAGGAAAGAAGGGAACCTGAGCTAGCATGTTGGTATTTGCGAGGGTTCTTCTGTCCTGAATTGGTCCTCTCATCTCTGGGAAAGAGAAAAGTGTCCCTAAAAACCATAACAGGGATGAGATGTGCCATCCTAGATTCAAGCAGACTCAGTCTTAGACGGCAATTTTGCTTTTGTTTATGTGCCAACAGAAAACCTAAACAAGTAGGAAATAAAAGCGACCTCCCTCACTAAAGATATATTAAGGGCCAAATATGTTTTAAATTCATTGCTAAGTCTCTTAGACCTTTTGAAAAGAAAAATAAAACCCCAGACTATTCAAAAATTAAAATTGACAACTGTATGGAGTTCACAAATCTCATTCTTAAGAGTGATCTTCAGGTAAGGTGTGGTGGCTCACGCCTGTAATTCCAACACTTTGGGAGGCCACAGTGGGCGGATCACTTGAGGCCACGAGTTCGAGGCCAGGCTGGCCAACTTGGTGAAACCCCATCTCTACTAAAAATACAAAAATTAGCCAGGCGTGGTGGCAGCCACTGGTAATCCCAGCTACTCAGGAGGCTGAGGCAGAATCGCTTGAACCGGGGAGGCAGAGGCTGCAGTGAGCCAAGATCACACCATTGCACTCCAGCCTGGGTGGCAGAGCGAGACTGCATCTCAATAATAAAAAATAAATAGATAAAAATAAAATCCTCTAATAGCGTCCCACCCTTCTCAGAATGACATAC